TGCCAGAGTAAAAAAAATTAAAAACGCTTTCAAACTTTCGTTAGCAGGGTTACCAATTCTATACTCAGATATTTTCCGAAAACATTTGTTGCGCATTGCATTTCGCTATACCTTCTTTTACTGTGATCATTAAGCTTCTTGTTTTTTCTTGCATCATTGCATTGAAATGCTTCGAACAGTTACTATATTTGATAATTTTGCTGCCACCATCTTCAGTGTACTTTTCACAGTTGCTGCACGAAACCATTGTTCATAGACTACCTGTGGCAATTATATTTATTTATTACTTTGTTCACTCAACTACTACCAAATCTCTTGCTATGACTGACAGTAGAGACGTAGTCTGTCGACATCGCACTTGTCTGTGCTCATCGAACTTGTGCGCAGCATAATTGCAATCTGGTTGATTTTTTCAAATTGCAAGACTTGACCGACTTCCTCGTCTTCATATAGGACACACATTATAGGATAGGTTATGCACCGGTATCGGTATACTTTCCTCTTTTTCTGAACCGGGATGACTGTATACTAGAGTCGTATCAAATAAGGAATATCTCTATCTTTTCACATCTTGGCAAATATTAGCACATGTCTATATAGACATTTCCAAACATTTGCCAAGATACGAAAGGTAAAGATATTTCTTATTTGATACGACTCTCCTGTTTACGGTTTAAACACAATGTAGACTATCTATGTGTATATACGAAATATAAATTCTCACTTTGAAATACGAGAAAAAGAATTCCTTTGCCTTTTCGCAATTCAAAAATGATTAACAATCCCGTGAGATCCCGATATCAGCGACATGCCGGATATCACAGCGATCGCGCCGCGAATGCCGCATGACACTGTACCTGGGGAGGTTAAACATCCCCATACATCGACATTGATGTGAAGTTAAGTTCATTGAAACAAACACATTCCCATTAACAACAGTCAAAAAACATTCTTCCCAAAGCAATCATTCCCAGCCCGAATTCAGGCCCATTTCCAACAACAAAAATACTTCATTCTAATCCATAAACTTCAATATCATCACAGCCACAAGTATCGGCCCCACGGAAAGTATTTCCCCCATATCCTGCGGAATCAACAAACTTGCAAGGGAACCTAATCCGAATCATTCCGTTCCTCTCACAAACACAAATATCAGCAGCAGATGAAAGGTCCTTAATTGTGGTTGTGGAGATGTGACACGACTGGCTTCCTTGTGGTAGGACAGAGAAGAACGAAGAGCTGATTATGGCTAAAGGAAGGCAGGACTAGAAGGATGACACTATAAATGAACCGGTTGTAACAGATCAAAGGTCGTTAATTGTGGTTGTGCCCATGTGACACCAGGTGCTAGCTTGTAGTAAAAAAACAGAAGAAGAAAGAGCTGGTTGCGGCCAAAGGAAGGTGCGACCTTGTTAATGAACTGGTTGTAAAAGATGAAAGGTCGTGAACTGTGGTTGTGGAGATGTGACGCTACTTGCTCGATTGTACCACGAAAAAGACGTACGAAGAGCCATTGCCGCTAAACGAATGCGGGACTAGAAGCGTGACATTGTAAATGAACTCATGCAATTAAAGGAGAGGTCGTTATTTGTGGTTGTGTAGATGTGACGCCACTTGCTTGCTTTTAGCACGAAAAAGATGAACGAACAGCTGGCTGAAGCCAACGTAATGCGACTTTTCGAAAAAAGTCGCCGAAACGAGAATATGACTTCAAAGAATATCAAAGGCGAAGGGGCGGTGTGAGAGTGAGTCGGCCAAACGAGAACTAATCGTAAAAATTGTCTAAAAATCTATTACCGTTAATTAGTGCCGTTCAATTTCCAGTACGTTGCTCTTAACTGATTATAATTTCCCAATTTGGGGTAATTGTAACCAGTCAACGTGCACCTCTGGGGTAATTATAACCATCACAGCAAAAACGATTGGGACGATGTAAATCAACTTTGATCCAACGATGAACTACCTTTTCAATTAAAAATTAGTCCATTTTATAGAGAATTTCGAACTTTATCTACTTCATGAATTGTCAGTCAATCAACTTTACCGTTAATTACTTAATGAGAAATTAGTGAAATCGAAAGAAACAGTCATTTTTTGCGATATACACGAACTGGGGTAATTATAACCACACTTGCTATTTTCATGGAGTAATTATAACCACTCCGTGCATACCACACGGAATAAAGAAAAATATTTTCATAGGTTTCGAATGACCAGTGTTCATACCAGTCACATGGTAGAATATGTTCAGAAGACCGTTATCTATTATTACACGTGAAAATCAGAAGAGAAAAAGTGTTTTGATCGTCTATTCATGTAAAAAATAATAATTGTTACTTTTCAACAACTTTTTCATGTTAATATCAGTTTGGTAATTAAGTTAGAAGTTTAATTAGCAATGACCTTGAGCAAAAGTTGAGCTATTCATGAACATTAGAGCATCGTCTTTCCGATGCATCTTTTTTTTTGCACTCTTAACATTTGATTTCCAAATGTGATTATGATCGGTTTCCATTTTATATTTCAACGAAATAAGAGGAAGTCAAAACTTTTAAGCTAGTTTTGATTTTCCGCGTCAAAAACTTTTTTACAAACCACTGAGCAATTGACAAAAAAATTTATTTACAATTCGTTTAGAAGCATGTTTGAGTTTTTGACTGTACAAAATATACATGAATATGATGATGTATGAAAGCCGATGCAATTAACCCATACATGTCTTGTACATGACGTACAAGGTATGAGAGTATTTGATCTATAATGACATTTATAGCATTTTGAAATCATAGTAGAATTCAAAGGTATGAAATTTAGTGATAGATGAGCAGTATTAGATGGGTGAAGAAGTACCAAAAAAGAAAATTGTTTTTGCTTGGGAAGCCAGATGACTGAGAAAAAGTTCGTGCCTGGTTATAGTAACTCCAGCTTACTCTATGAGAAAAAAAACCTTGAAGGTATCGGAAAAGCGAGAAAACTTTATGAAACTAAGAAGATTGTTTATTTTTAGCCTTCTAAGCAACTAAAAACTTCATGACTTTTTCAAAAAAGATCGAGGAACACTCAGAGTGACCTTATATTGTGGTTCAAACATGTCTCTTATTGAGCTATATGTTCAATTCAAGATCAAAAGTTTTTTCGAAAAAGAGCCGGGAGTACTCTTAAATCATTATACTACAATTAAATTAGCACACATGCTTCTTCTGTTATAAGTTTTGTATACAACTGTGAGTATAACGTAATTTTCCTTACACAAAATATCGTTTTTTCCCTGTTTTTTCATCTTTATAAGAAAATGCACTGAGTCGCATCGAAATTTTTATTTTTATAATAATTTACTTGTTTAGACAAACATTCTTTTTTGTTAGAAAATAATGTTTGAACCAAAACCGAATGATACCTACTGTATTCAAGGTTGTTGAACGAATAAATTCTCTACAGCAAATGGTTATACATAATAATGGTGATGATTTGATTTTAACTGATGCCTGTTTCAATTATTCGGGTTATAATTAGTGATTCAACGCAGTTCATGGAAAATACGGCGATTCTTGCTTGTTTGTGTTGAAAACAAACGAATAATCCAGTGATAAATAATGACGAGGTAAAAGTGGTAAGAAATTTGGACAAAATAGATGCTAGACAACAGTTCAAAGTGATGAAAGGAGACGAGTATTCATACAAGATTGAGAACGTTGTTAATGATAAAGTGTTGAGCGCTAAACGTTTGAGTCAAACATGATTTGGATGATTATTTTTATATGATTCTATTAACTGGTGATAACAAACAAGAAAATCAATTATATAATATCCAATGGGCAAATAGTAAGTTTAAATATTCGATCATATCCAAGATGTATTTGTTCTGCTTTACATTCTGATGGTTTTGTATTATATACGAAAAGTACTGATAATATGTCGTTTTTCTGCAGTGAAAAACTATTCATCCACTTTTGAAAAAAAATTTATTTTCAAATCAAAATTGATATCAACGAAAGAGTTTTATTTATTTCATGAATTTGCGTTGAAACGAATACGCCGGAGTGATAAAACTCGGTTGGATCGTGAAAAAAGCTTTTCAGGACAAAAGATACCGATTGTCCGGTTAAAAGGACTAGAACAAATTCATGGCTAACAAATCACTAACTTGAAATAGGCGCTAAATGAATAAATTGACACCAAACCAGTGAAATTATTTGTGAAACTAAATCTATTGTTGCAGCAGCATGTAGACCAGCTATGGGTAGCTTTAAGAAGGAAAAGAGGGTTTAATATCGATTTACTTGTGTGATGGCGTCTGTTTCCAGTTATTTTCTAGTACCTTTTGATTTCACGATCTAACAGAGTTTTACCATTGTGGCGTATTCGTTTCAAGGTAGACTCATGAAATAAATAAAAACTTTTCGTTGATATCAATTTCGATTTGAAAGTGAATTTCTTTCAAAGGTGGACGAATAGTTTTTTACTGAAGAAAAATGACATATTTTCAGTATTTTTCGTATAAAATAAGAACAAAACGGAGTTAAATGCTGATCATATCTACATATAGACAAGAAAATGAGCTCTGCACGATGGTGAGAATGGCGACTCTCTAGCATGTATTATTTCCAAATAGGAAACGCAAGAGTATGATACTATAGGGGTGGACGAATAATTTTTCGATCCACTATAGATGGGTACGGTTACTTGAATATACAAAAAATTTAATGACACACAATAATAAAATAACCACTATACGATTTAAATTATACATCATATATTTATTTACATTATTTAATCACTACATTGAATGATTCACATAGAAAAAAATAAACAACGAAACACAGGAAAGAACAACTAATTCATATTATATATATACACAAAAAGAAATTGATCTAGGGGATGTTGAACATCTGTGACTAAGTGGCTTATCTTCTACTAGAACACTAACTGACATTTTGTTAAAGATATAACATCAGAACAGAAAAACATTATCGAATACGAAAATATTTTTGAAGGGAGGTTTAAGCAATAACAGGTTTGATTAGTAAAATTAGTTCTTTCGCTTCTGTTGGATTGAATAGAGATACTTCTAATTCATATTGATTTGATGGTGTAAATACAAATGTTGGTCCTTGATCAACTTGTAAGACTCGACGTTCATTATTATAAATGATTGCTGTTATTTGTGCTCGAGTTTCATAATCATGTAATGTATCATCATGACGATATACTTTCAATGTCCATTTATCTTGTGAACGTTTACGATAAACAACTTTCCATTCGGCCGTACGCTCTATCGATGGTACAGGACTATCATATGTTTGTACATCAACTTGAATACCAAAACGAAGTGTACTTTGTATATCAACACGATCTCTAAATCAAACAGAAAAACGATATTATTTTTCACTGCTGATCAATTATCAAAGAAATCATCTAAAGCTAGTTCTTCCTGTGAGTGCTAATCATATTTCATAGTCAACATTAGAGCAACTCGATTATACGGAAGCTCTTATCAATACTGTTCCTTTATTTAATTTCATTCTGTGTTCATTTCTCTTTTATTTCCTTTTAAAAAAGGAAAAGGTTTTAGTTAAGAAAACAGATATTTAAAAAAGACAAAACTGATTTGCTCCAAATAACTTGGTTACAAAATGAATTTGATTATTTTCACGGAAAAAGTTCATGAAATTTTGATTTCAAGTTTTTTCAATGTCGAAACCGATTGATGACAGTGTGTTAGCGACAGTATGATTGACAAATGAATTTTTTGTTGTTGAGTTATTTCATCATCATATAATCATTTCAACTTCAAAAACAGTATTGTGACCGTAACCTATACACATACACCCTCCTCTTTAAAAGTGAAAAAACTCGAGAAAAAAATCTTTTTAATTGATACAGTGGTGTCACGACCAGAGGGGATTCTATGGGTAATATCCACTCAATAATTCAAAAATTTTTGCTTTCCAATAAGAAAAGAGAAAGCAAAAAGCATTGTCACCACCACCTCCGTGACAGGGTTACGGAATCCATTGAGCTCTACGCAAAAATTTGAAGGTCGTGACATCCTTGCATTGGCATACGTACAATCAAGTGTTTTGTGCTTTTCTTAATTCAAGGTTTTTTGTTGATCAGCTTCATCTGTAAACCTTATCGAAATTTTATTCGATTGAGTGATAGAATGAAAACAAATGACTCTATTTTGTCTTAGTATTTCTAGAAAAAATGAAAGACTTTGATTATAAACCAGTTCTTTAGTCCATAATCTTGATTTGTAATGATCAGCATTCGATGAAAATATGATCTTCCTATCTAATCAATTGACAAGACCATTCTAAAATATTAGAAATGTAATCTAAAATGACTACATCATGGCATAATCAACAAGATCACATTTATCTATGACTGATTTTAAATAGTAAACATCACAGTCTACAGTGCTGATTAATTAAACTAGATCTTGAACGTTGTCGAGAATAATCATTTGATATTCACTTACGTGATATTCATTTCTGTATATTCACGTGGTAAATACCATTGTAACGGATGAAAATCTTGTTCCATGTTGAAATCTTGACCAGACTGTTTCATGGAAGCAAACGTATGAAATCGAAATGCTTGATAGAGGAGTGGTTTGATAATTTGTTGAATCTGTTCACCTTTCAAATATAATGTGGATTTTTCAACTAACCGTAACTGACCAGGTAACATTTGTGAAAAACGTATCAACGGAAACAATTCTCTTGCATATTGCACTAAAATCAAAATAAAACTATTAATACACTAATAAAAGGAAAAAACAGAATTCAGTATAAAATGAAAGAAATGTTCCTCATGCAACATTTTATACATATTCTGAGAGAACAGGACTTGTTTGATCAAGACATTAAGTCGTATACCTAATAAATGTTGACGTTGTGCGAACAGTAACCAATCGGATAATGATGTGTAAAGACGATATTCATTAATTAAAACTAAATCTGAATTTGATAACAAATCTCTCACAAAATCTAATTCAACTTTGAGCCAATCATCAGTTGATTTTAGTAGATATTCCGTATTCCATGCAACAGTTTTCATACACACATCTTTTAAATCAGATAAATTAAATTGTTTAGCAACAGAATACCATGATACACCATTTTTAACATTTGGAGTTTTTGCTTTAATCATCATAAACTGTGCACATAAATTACGTAAACTAAAAACAAAACAATAAGACAATTGTAAAGTAATGCAGATAATAAAAAGAAAATCTGTATACATACGCCACAACGTTGTATTTGTCGGCTAGACATAATAAGCCAACAACTGTTGGCTCTGTTAGTGTCACTCGTGCAGAATAAAAAAAACGTAAGAATCTAAACAAACAAGTGTATAATGTAGTTATTAAAAAAGATAGACGAAAATGATACAAAAAGCAATCGTTTGTCAATTTTAGAAGATAAGATATTTAGCTTTTTTTCTACCTACTTTTCAAACACTTCTCCTTGACATTCTTCTTGTTCTTCTAGAATAATTTCATGTTGATTTTGTTCATTTTGCCAATGTGATGAATATAATAAGGTTTGTAATACATCTGATGATTTAGCCAAAATAAATTTATGAGCATAGTAACTAAATAAATGATAGAAAATTAATAAATTATAGAAAATCAATCGTCACTACGTACCTTCTATTTCCAACTTTGATATATACATCGGATAATTGTGAATTGTTAAAAAACTTTGTTGTTGATTCAACATGATCGGACATTGCATGTAACGTTATTTCACCCAAACCTTCATCATAACCGTGTCCATCGTCTGACATATTAATTGCTGTTGTGGTATTCGTTGAAGAAGATTGTAAAGCATTTTCACATAAATAATCATCGTCCATCTACAAACAAAAACAAAGTACATAAACTACAATGATCAGATATAAACACACTAATCTTGACATTTTGTGATTTAAAAATAAAAATAAGTTATTTTTTTTTGGAAATGTACTTATATTAGATGACTTTGTTTGTCTTCAGCCGCATAGAATACATCGATGATAGTAAGAAGTAAAAACAAAACAGAGTCATTCATTAACATTCTAAGTTGTTGAAGTAAAACAAAAAATAAATAAAATTTCTTAGTGTAATTATGGCTATAATACTCAATGTAGTGTATTACAACCGCATTTACACCAGAATTTTTAGCAACCATTCATTATTTTACTTTAATAAAATCAAATAATAGAAAACGTCATACACTGACGAAAATGATTCGAAGAAAAAATTATTCAATATTTTCAATGTTTTCTCGTTTATGATTTATCTAAAAATACAAAATAAACAAACTCAAACATATCGTCAGAATCAAAAAAAGATGAACTCTGTAGTAAAATGGTGTTATTCTTCTACAAACCCGTCAAAAACTGACATTCTACAGTTTTTTCAACGTATACTACTGGATTATTAGGAACAATTTTCTTTTCGATTTCACGTGTTTGGATTCTTCTATGCACACCAACTATAAAAAAACTAATTTGACGTTGTTTGTATCTCCACTGTCTAAAAAAATTACTCGAAAAACGTGGCAAATTTACAGTAAAACGTCGTTTTTAGAAGGGCATCTTTTTCCGTTACATTAAGCTGTCTCATTTCGAGATAAGATGAAAAATTGATAACTTTTACCGTTCTTATGTCACTGACTGTTCATTATGTATGTTGTCGTTTGAAACAGTGAAAATGAGACTCATTTTCACTAATTCAAATGACAAGAGTTTTCTGCTTATTTTTATGTTTTGATCAATGCTAAGTTTTTTGTGTTCAGTCAGTTGTCTATTCAGACAAGTAAATAATTTAATTATTTTGAAAGATTCACACGTTCGATGATATATTATAAATAAGTTTTTCTAAGTGTTTTTTAAATAAATTTTTAGTTTTAAGATGACACCTTGGAAAAGATGACATTAATATTCACACTTCATAATATTAATCTTTTTATTTCTTTTTGTAAAGAACACTGCTCTATTTTCAATTTGATGAACTCAAAAGTCGGCTTGATGAATGAATTTGGTTTGTTTTGTTAATTCTTATTTTTAAAGAAAAATCGTACAGCTCTTGCTTCTCTCTTTGTTTTAGATGAAAATATTTCTCGGTGAACAATTAGTCAGATCGATGAAGAGTAGGACAAAATCGTTAGAAAATGTTAAATTAAAAGTTGATGATCTGAATGATTTCAGGACTTTGATAATATTTATCTCCTTCAGAGTCAATAGTTCTTTATGAGGTCGTTGAAATTTAACGCTGGGAACGTATTAAAGTTCTTTAGAAAAACTTCAGTAGTCTGGTACCACAATGACAAAAACATTGAAAAACGCGAAAGAAACCTATGTGAAATAGGAAAATGTGACATTGCTTCCCCCTCTTGGGCAATTTTAACTAGTGCAGTAACGGCAATGAAAAGTAGTGTTACGAGCAGCGTCTAATGAGAGCTAGATCAGCAAACTGATCGAGCGTAAAATGAGTTTTAATATTGAAGAATTAATTTCTGCTGTGTTTTGTAGACTGTGAAAATAATTCCATTTTGTTTTCTAAGCTCTTTTCTGAACCATATAATGAACAGTCATAATGTATGATTGTTTATTCTTTATCTCATTATTTTGTTTCTGTTTAACAGATACCAAATATTTTTTCTTTTATACGAAACAAAAAGTGCTCTTAGTTTCTATCATATGCTAGATGAGGAGAAACGGAGTTGACTCGATCTACAAATCCAAGAGAAATAAGACAATAATTTCAAGACAGTAAAAAGAAGCTTCTTTTGACGGATGTTGAAAAAATTGGTATAGCTTCTGCTTTCCACCGAAGAAAGACTTTCTTTTAGACACACGTGCCCCTAAAAATTTGTTTCTAGACTATATTCAGGTGCTACTGTGCTGGAAGAAAACGTGGCATAGTTTTTCATGATATACCTGTTTTTTCTTGGTATACTTTTCCTATTAGATAGTCTGACACTATGTTGCTGCATCTGTACAGAATTGCTATTGGAGCCCGTGCTGTATCTCTGTTCTTATAATTGGACGTCTGTAGTATACCACAACTGGTATGAATACGAATCCAAGAAAAGGTCTGCAATTTTATGTGACCAAGTGGTAAGTGAAGAACAAACGTTTTTCTTCTCAACTTACATTCACTTGCAATGGAAAATGGAGAAGTAGTCAGAAGTCATTATGCTAATTGAATGATCACGTACGTTTGACGATTGATATTTGTTGTTTATGTTAATACATTAGTCTGAGGATTTTTGTTTGACAAATCTCACAAGTTGATTAATCAACCATATCTCGTCATATACGGCATGCTATCTGATGCTCGAAACAACCGAGATGGCCTCAAAGCGAAAGAAATTAAACAAGACGCACTTGCCAGAGTGAACAAAAATGATGTCTTGACTGTAACGGCTTTGATAGCCAACATATATGCTGTACTTGATGGCTAGGATGCATCGATGAAACTCAAAAATAAAATGATGAGGAATGTGTGAGAGTCGGACGGATGAGAATAGACTAGTTTACTACTTTAGAGTCCATGATCGATGTCATCAGCTTTCTAATAGGAATTAGAGTCAGAATGGTACGCTCTGTTTTCCAAAAACAAAGTGTTATATAGCAAAATCAGAGAGTCTCATAATGTATAACGCTTAAATGAAAAAGGCTATGTTTCATCTGTCTTTAATGAGAACAAGGTCAGCTAGTCAAAATAAAAATCACACAGCAAGTATAGAGTAAAAGCAAAAATCACATTGTATTTTTGACGATGACCATAATTTTTGCATGATTTTAGTGTCAGTGACTTTTTATTATTTTTTTCACTCAATGGTAGTGATTGAGACACCGATCTCAGTTCTAAGTCAGATGTTAATTCATTTTGTTCAAATTTGAAATTGCCTGTTTGTTCATTATTTTCTTTTTCTGACAAGAACAATGCAGAAGACGCTGCTGACACTGTCGTTAAATTTGTTCGAAGAAAGTGTTCAATCTTAAATTTTTATTATCGCTGTTCATATCTATTTCATCTAAAAATGTATGAAAAATACACGCTTTATTTTAGAAACACAAAGAACCAAAACATACAGGATTTTGAAAAATTGAGCAATTTCTCGTTGGTCAAATTTTTTTGAGATTACACACAACAAGCACCACTGCCGTACTGAGATCATGAATCTCAGTCTAGAGATTAGAGCGCAGCAACACCGCAATTTGTTGAATTGAATCATTGGTCATTAGCGATAGGCCACGAATCGTACGCACGAAAACAACGCAGTATTCTCAACATAAACTGACAAAAACTTGCAAAAAAACAAAAAAAAAGTCTAAATTAAATAAATTAAAAATTCAGAGTGTGCAATGTCCAATCTGTTTTTTCTCACACAGTGTGTTAGCGGTCTGCGAGAATTTTTTGCTCATAAACTATTTTTTCATCAATAATTATCATTGGGTAGTCATCTCTAATGCTTTTAAAGAAAAAAATAAACGTTTTAATAAATGTAAAAACAATCAGTTTTTTCGAAAAGTCGGTTATTAGAAAAGATTTCCATGAATATTTTTATGATCAAAAGCTTATTGTGTTACATATGATTCAATGCAACTCGACGTGCTGATCCAAGGTTTTTTGGAAAATCTATAGCTAAACACTGGAGAATAGTTCACAGAGGGCAATTTTCACTAGGCACGTGGACTTTTGGCCTGCAAGCTAGAGGAAAACTTCAAAGCGCGTTTTCTATAGGTTATCTTGTGTGCTCTATCTAATCGAATGCTTTTCGAATTCTAAAAAGGTTTTCTAAGTGATTTTCCAGTGATCCGGTCTCTAGAAAACCTTTAAAAAGATCGAAAACAATTGCGTTGGATAGAGAATCATCGATAACCTATTGCAATAGTGTCCAGACGATTTCACCTGTTGATAGTTTCAAATTTTAAAATTTCAGTCAAAAATCCCTATACGCACATGCAAGAAACAAAGGAATCAACTACATTCAAAATTGTCAGTACAACCGCGGCTGAATTATACACCGTTCGACGCAGTTTTTCACGCTGATTCCGAATATCACCTTATTTTTTAATTTAAGTGCTACTAAACTGAGAAAAACCTAAATTATCTGAAAACCGAGGATTTTTTAGAAGACCTATAACCCGATCCAGAAGCATTTGCGCTATCAGTATATATGTATCGTTGGTAGGTCTACCTTCGGTAAAAAAATTCGTTGAATCTGAAGCTTCGGAAAAAATCGGAAACCGATTACACTGACGAGGGAACCGCCCCAGATGCCCAACTCCGATTTCCTTCATTCATACCTCGTTTTATAGAGCACATCGAGCTGGTAAAAAGCCTAAAAGGATATCGGCTGACGACTCTTTAAGACCCGGACTCTAACAGAATA